AGTATGAAACACTGATCTGTGGTCTTAGTATGAAACACTGATCTGTGGTGTTAGTATGAAACACTGATCTGTGGTGTTAGTATGAAACACTGATCTGTGGTGTTAGTATGAAACACTGATCTGTGGTGTTAGTATGAAACACTGATCTGTGGTGTTAGTATGAACACTGACCTGTGGTCTTAGTATGAAACACTGGGATGCTGGTGGTGTTAGTATGAAACACTGATCTGTGGTGTTAGTATGAAACACTGACCTGTGGTGTTAGTATGAAACACTGACCTGTGGTGTTAGTATGAAACACTGACCTGTGGGTGTTTAGTATGAAACACTGATCTGTGGTGTTAGTATGAAACACTGATCTGTGGGTGGTTAGTATGAAACACTGATCTGTGGTGTTAGTATGAAACACTGATCTGTGGTCTTAGTATGAAACCTGACCTTGGTCTTAGTATGAAACACTGATCTGTGGTGTTAGTATGAAACACTGATCTGTGGTGTTAGTATGAAACACTGACCTGTGGTGTTAGTATGAAACACTGACCTGTGGTGTTAGTATGAAACACTGATCTGTGGTGTTAGTATGAAACACTGATCTGTGGTGTTAGTATGAAACACTGATCTGTGGTGTTAGTATGAAACACTGATCTGTGGTGTTAGTATGAAACACTGATCTGTGGTCAGATAACCAGTCCTAAAGTCTTAGTAATGGTATTGTAATAAAACAAATAATGCTGTGAATAATAACACACAAATGAATATTGTGTTTGAATATTGAGAATACAGATATAGAGAACATTGTCGTTGTAGGGTGCAGCGTATCTCGAGTTCCATAAATACGAAATGTATTTTAAGTACCCTAAATAGACATTATTTGCGAGCTATAATTTACTGGGACACATATTAGAGTAAAGCGTGATGCCATCTAGCTACAGAGTCATGATATCGGATGCAATATACTATTTTTCCAAACGGTGGCTTGCGGCGAGACATTGTTTTTAAAGCACTGTTTTGATGAGCCATGATGTGTGAGAGAGGATTGAGGGCCTGGGGTTGATCTGTTAGATAAACTATCACTGTCCCTCGGCCTGTGGTTCCAGGTGGGTACTATTGACTGGGGCTGGAGAGGGAGTATGTAACAACCATATCACCCTCCTACACACCCCCACCCGACCACCCTACACTCCCCTACCCGACCACCCTACACTCCCCTACCCGACCATCCTACACTCCCCTACCCGACCACCCTACACTCCCCTACCCGACCATCCTACACTCCCCTACCCGACCACCCTACACTCCCCCACCCGACCACCCTACACACCCCTACCCGACCACCCTACACTCCCCTACCCGACCACCCTACACACCCCTACCCGACCACCCTACACTCCCCCACCCGACCACCCTACACACCCCTACCCGACCATCCTACACTCCCCCACCCAACCACCCTACACTCCCCTACCCAACCACCCTACACTCCCCTACCCGACCACCCTACACTCCCCTACCCGACCACCCTACACTCCCCACCCGACCACCCTACACTCCCTACCCGACCACCCTACACTCCCCTACCGACCATCCTACACCCCCCACCCACCACCCTACATCCCTACACGACCACCATACACTCCCCTACCCGACCACCCTACACTCCATACCCGACCACCCTACACGCCCACCCAACCACCCTACACTCCCCCACCCAACCACCCTACACTCCCCTACCCGACCACCCTACACGCCCACCCAAACACCCTACACTCCCCTACCCGACCACCCTACACGCCCACCCAACCACCCTACACGCCCACCCAACCACCTACAACTCCCCTACCCGACCACCCTACACTCCCCTACCCGACCACCCTACACTCCCCTACCCGACACCCTACACGTCCACCCAACCACACTACACGCCCACCCGACCACCCTACACTCCCCTACCCGACCACCCTACACTCCCCTACCCGACCACCCTACACTCCCTACCCGACCACCCTACACGCCCACCAACCACCCTACACTCCCCTACCCGACCACCCTACACTCCCCTACCCGACCACCCTACACGCCCACCCAACCACCCTACACGCCCACCCGACCACCCTACACTCCCCTACCCGACCACCCTACACTCCCCTACCCGACCACCCTACACTCCCCTACCGACCACCCTACACGCCCACCCAACCACCCTACACTCCCCTACCCGACCACCCTACACCCCCCCACCCAACCACCCTACACCCCCCCACCCGACCACCCTACACTCCCCTACCCGACCACCCTACACGCCCACCCAACCACCCTACACTCCCCCACCCGACCACCCTACACTCCCCTACCGACCACCCACACTCCCCTACCGACCACCCTACACTCCCCCACCCGACCACCCTACACCCCCACCCGACCACCCTACACCCCCTGCTTCCCTCTGCTCTCACTAGGGCTGGAGAGGGAGTATTTGTGCGTCCCAAATGGCACCCTATTCCCTATTTTCCCCATAGGGCTCGGGTCAAAAGTAGTGCACTATATAGGGAATAGGGCACCATTCTGGACGTACCCTATATAAGAACCACAGACCCCGTTCCTTCGACACCCCCCCCACCACCCACCACCCCCGCTTCCCTCTGCTCTGCTCTTTCATCAGCATGCCGCCCGGGCCAGGGAACTTAAATCAAGGAAATGGCAGGACATCAAGGAGATCATTTGAGACTGAATAGCCGTAGAAACATGGGGCTGTCATCTATTAGAGGAGAGGACCCTCCAAAACACGCCGCCGAGCAGCTCTCCTCGCTCTCTCTACGAGCCCCTCTCTCTGTCCTTACAGGTCTTCCTAACCAAGGTCATTAATGACTCCTCGCTATAGATATTTAAGAAGTCAACTGCTCTAAGAGATTGGTTCTTGCTGGGTATATATATACTATGTATAGATATTAGGGGAGGATATATAGGATGTATATGAGATAGAGAGAGAGAGAGCTAGTAATATAAGAATATATTCATATAGATTATAGAAATATATATACTATTATCTATCGTATATGTATATATGTATATATATCTATATGTATATATATATATCTATATATATGTCTCACTATCTAATATCTAATCTCTATCTCTATCTTAGATTATCTCTCTCTATCTATTCTCTCTATTCTCTCTCTGGTCTCTCCTCCTCTCTCTGTATCTATGTGTCTCTCTGTGTATCTCTGTGTCTCTCTCTCTTCTCTATCTCTCTCTCTCTCTCTCTCGTCTCTCGGTCCTCTCTCTCTCCTCTCTCTCTCTCTCTGTCTCTCTGTCTCTCTCTGTCTCTCTGTCTCTCTCTCTAGCTGTCCTTATAGGTCCTTCCTCACCATGTCCTCTAATGCCTACTCTGCCCTTCAGTATCAATCTGCATAGAAATGTGTGCCTTCTATCATCCGATGACTAGATATTACACCCCGGCTAATAGGAAAGAGCTCTTGTAGAATAGTCTGAAAATGAACTCTTTTAAAATGTCAGACGTTTGCATTATGCCTTACGATCTCTCTCTGCTAGCAGCATCTCTTTACAGGGGAAGATAGTTGATTATGTCATTTGCCATGTCCACGTCATGCTGGTTTTTATATCTCTGCCAGGAAATCTACCTTTGACATGTCATTAGTCATCCCTCCATTCCTCCATCCTTCCATTCCTCCATCCCTCCACACAGCACACTCATAAAACATTATATTCCACCGAATACCCCCACAAACCCTGCTCGGTGCTCGCGCTTCCACCTGACAAATGTCATACAGGACCAAAAAAAAAAAAAAACGGTATGCAAACCTACCGCATATCGTCGTACGCTCATTAGCTATGTTCCTTACATACTGCAGAAATAAGGGACTCATTCCCCTCCCAGTTTGACATACCTGCCCTTTCCCCCGACACCGGTCCCCTTCCATCGTGTTCATATCCTCTTAACACAGTGTGGTTGTGAATGAATGGTCCTGTTCCATTATTCTCACCAGATGCTTATGTAGTGACATTAGAAAGCCTGTTGCTTACAGATCCAATAATCTATATGGCCTCAGGCTTCTTATATCCACTAACCTACACTTTGAGTCAGTAAAAAGAGAGGGGAAGAGAGACGGGGAGGGGGGGGGGGGGGAGAACGAGCAAGAGAGAAAGAGAAAACGAGGGATAAAGGGAGAGAGAGAGAACGAGCAAGAGAGAGAGAGAGAGAACATGAAGGATAAAGAGAGAGAGAGAACACGAAGGATAAAGGGAGAGAGAGAGAGAGGATGAGGTGCTGCTGGTGTTAAAAGTGTCTTCTACAGCGGAGGTGGTAGACGTTGGTTTCTTGAGTGACCTGGGTGGTTGGCTACATCATCTTGACATGTAATTATCTAAGCCCCTCTTAATCACTTCAAACAAAGATTAATTGCACGAGACAACAGTGGAGGTCATGTCTTCAAATCAAACAGCTCTTCCTCTTCTTCTTGACACACTAGAACACATTATCATGGTACATTTAGCCCTCATGGTTTTACTGTGCTATCGCTGCGCTCTGGCAATGCACATCAGACTGTCTGATGCTGTACACTAGCTAGTCGTGTATGTTGTTATGAAGACTGTGAGCTGTGCTATTTAGTATTTTCTATTTTGAATGGAAATGCTCTGATCCGTTCTGATCTGAAGTATATCCATGTTAGAACACATCAACTCGTCAAGGTGCTCTGAGCCAGACAACATCAAGGTGCCCCTGAGTCAGACAACATCAAGGTGCTCTGAGTCAGACAACATCAAGGTGCCCCTGAGTCAGACAACATCAAGGTGCTCTGAGTCAGACAACATCAAGGTGCTCTGAGTCAGACAACATCAAGGTGCTCTGAGTCAGACAACATCAAGGTGCTCTGAGTCAGACAACATCAAGGTGCTCTGAGTCAGACAACATCGAGGTGCTCTGATTCAGACAACATCAAGGTGCTCTGAGTCAGACAACATCAAGGTGCTCTGAGTCAGAAAACATCAAGGTGCTCTGAGTCAGACAACATCAAGGTGCTCTGAGCCAGACAACAACACCACAGCATTCTGGGACAGATACTATTCTCAGGAATGAGACTGGCTCTTCTCTTACCTTCATCTCGTTTTCTCTTCTCGCCGTTTGACCGGGGAATACCCAGGATGCCGTTGATGGAGTAGGACCCCACAGGGTCATTGGAAGGGCTTGTTACAGGTGGAGAGGCCTGGCTCGGTACTGAGGGAAAAGAGACATTTTATAATTATTATTTAACCTTCATTTTGTGGTCCTGTGTAGCTCAGTCAGTAGAGCATGGCACTTGCAGGATCGTGGGTTCGATTCCCAGGACACCCATAAGAACATGTATGCACGCAGTAGCCTACTGTAAGTTGCTTTGGATGTAAGCATCTACTAAATGGTATATAATATTATTATTTTGACAGGTTGTTCAGTTGAGTAGAAAATACCTATTTTTCAATGGAGACAAGGCGATTAACATGGGTTGGGATTATGATAGATCTTACTCATGGTGTGGCCTGGTGTAAGGGTTATGGTTATGATATATCTTACTCATGGTGTGGCCTGGTGTAAGGGTTATGGTTAGGGTTATGATAGATCTTACCCATGGTGTGGCCTGGTGTAAGGGTTAGGATTAGGGTTATGATAGATCTTACCCATGGTGTGGCCTGGTGTAAGGGTTAGGGTTAGGGTTATGATAGATCTTACCCATGGTGTGGCCTGGTGTAAGGGTTAGGGTTATGATAGATCTTACCCATGGTGTAGCCTGGTGTAAGGGTTAGGGTTATAATAGATCTTACCCATGGTGTGGCCTGGTGTAAGGGTTATGGTTAGGGTTATGATAGATCTGACCCATGGTGTGGCCTGGTGTAAGAGTTAGGGTTAGGGTTATGATAGATCTTACCCATGGTGTGACCTGGTGTAAGGGTTATGGTTAGGGTTATGATAGATCTTACCCATGGTGTGGCCTGGTGTAAGGGTTAGGGTTAGGGTTATGATAGATCTTACCCATGGTGTGGCCTGTTGTAAGGGTTAGGGTTATGATAGATCTTACCCATGGTGTGGCCTGTTGTAAGGGTTAGGGTTATGATAGATCTTACTCATGGTGTGGCCTGGTGTAAGGATTAGGGTTATGATAGATCTTACCCATGGTGTGGCCTGTTGTAAGGGTTAGGGTTATGATAGATCTTACCCATGGTGTGGCCTGGTGTAAGGGTTAGGGTTATGATAGATCTTACCCATGGTGTGGCCTGGTGTAAGGGTTAGGGTTATGATAGATCTTACCCATGGTGTGGCCTGGTGTAAGGGTTAGGGTTATGATAGATCTTACCCATGGTGTGGCCTGGTGTAAGGGTTAGGGTTATGATAGATCTTACCCATGGTGTGGCCTGGTTGTAAGGATTAGGGTTATGATAGATCTTACCCATGGTGTGGCCTGTTGTAAGGGTTAGGGTTATGATAGATCTTACCCATGGTGTGGCCTGGTGTAAGGGTTAGGGTTATGATAGATCTTACCCATGGTGTGGCCTGGTGTAAGGGTTAGGGTTATGATAGATCTTACCCATGGTGTGGCCTGGTGTAAGGGTTAGGGTTATGATAGATCTTACCCATGGTGTGGCCTGTTGTAAGGGTTAGGGTTATGATAGATCTTACCCATGGTGTGGCCTGTTGTAAGGGTTAGGGTTATGATAGATCTTACCCATGGTGTGGCCTGTTATAAGGGTTAGGGCAGGTAAGGGTTAGGGTTATGATAGATCTTACCCATGGTGTGGCCTGGTGTAAGGGTTAGGGTTATGATAGATCTTACCCATGGTGTGGCCTGGTGCAGACAGGGATGTTCCATCTGGAGAGGGGTGGAAAGGCTGCTGGACTTTTGTTCGTATTATCCTGTGATCACAGGAAGGAAAAGATGGTGTCAGTACTGCCTCCTTCTCTTGGATCAGTTGACTGGCAAGATGGCGTCAGTGCTGCCTCCTTCTCTTGGATCAGTTGACTGGCAAGATGGTGTCAGTACTGCCTCCTTCTCTTGGATCAGCTGACTGGCAAGATGGCGTCAGTGCTGCCTCCTTCTCTTGGATCAGTTGACTGGCAAGATGGCGTCAGTGCTGCCTCCTTCTCTTGGATCAGTTGACTGGCAAGAGGGTGTCAGTACTGCCTCCTTCTCTTGGATCAGTTGACTGGCTTTTTACACAATACAGCATCATTTGAACATTGCCGTGAATGAAGGGCCAGAATGGTCTGTGGTTAACTTGTTTTTTTTTTTGCAACCTAAACCTCTTCCAATCACAGATTGGATGTTGTTGAATAGATGTTGGACTATATTCCCTATATATAGTGCACTATGTTTTACCAGGACCCATAGTGCTATGTGTCTGAGTGAGACCAGGACCCATAGTGCTATGTGTCTGAGTGAGACCAGGACCCATAGTGCTTTGTGTCTGAGTGAGACCAGGACCCATAGTGCTTTGTGTCTGAGTGAGATGTCAGTAGTAAGGATCCAATCCAATCCAAACTCCAGATGTAGAAACAGCAGTGCCTACGTGTTATAAAACCTACTGTACCTTTAAAAGGTGAGATATAGAGAAGAAAAGTCTTCATTCCACTTCTGCTCTGAGAGGTGATCTTGCAAACAAAGCATGAAATCACATCAATTCACCTCAATGATTGGCTTCACTGGTTCTACCTGGCCTGAGCTAATCAGCTCTCCTTCTCTCTTTCTCTCTCTTTCCTCCCTTCTTTCCCTCTCTCCCTCCCACACGGTAAAGGTTTACAGGGCTCTCTCTCTGACCGCTGGTCCTTGGCTTGGCCAGGACTGCGTCCCAAATGGCACCCTATTCCCCATTTGTGCACTACTTTTGACCCGAGCCCTATGGCACCCATAGCCCTATATCCCTACGGGCCATGGTCAAAAGTAGTGCACTATATAGGGAATAGGGTGCCATTTGGGACAGGTCTCTAAAGCTTCAGCAGCAGCAGCCCCCCATTGCCAACCCCAGTGTGGACGAGGGTCTATTGATCGAGGGCTTGGGGAGAAAAAGTTGGGGATTAGTCACAGGCCCAAACAGATGCAAATAGAAAGCTATAAATTATATGTGACAGGAAAGCAATATTTCCTTATTGCCTTGCACAAGCTTACGCCAGCATTAGATTCCTTTAAACTGACTGGCACCGTGGGGAAGAGGGAGCTGTCATTGTAATGTGTAAACTTTAAAACTATTTATCATGTATGACGTGGTGTGTTCCTATTTTAGAACACGGGCGGAGCGTAAAAGGTGGAGTAAGGACTTTGAGGATGAATAATGGCACGTATCCCAGTTCACGTTTGGTTGGTTTCCTAATCCTTAACACAGCTCTGTTGTTGTGAATTGGAGGTTTCTTTGTATTTTATTAACAAAAAGAGTATTGTTATTTAAGGCCTCTATTTTATTAGATAATGTTACAAATTGAACCGCTTGGCCTGAAACTGAACAATTTAGCAATTTACACCATCTACAGTATTTTAGACGTTAACTAAAAGTCTAAGCCTTTGGGGGCGGGGTTTAAAAAAATATATTTAACAATTATTGAATTTGGCCTTTACTACTAAAGCCCATAGAAACGCATTGAACAACACATTCATAAATGGCAAAACAGACAGTCAAAACATTTATCATAAGGAATAAGGTTTTGAAGTGTCTGTCCTATATATAGTAGATATCAGAAAGCTCAGGAAATAGTGGACACATATTTAACCCCTTTTTTTTTTTGGTTGGCACAAAACTACCTCCATAACTCCATTCATTTTTTAAAACCGGTACCAAGTTACCGTCAGACGAGAGTCCCATGACACTTGTGGAGGTCGTAAAATTGAGAATATCATCGTGTTGGTGAGAATCTCATCTTTCCATAGAGCGTTCATATTAGTTTGTAGGCTAAACCATTCGGGACGCTACAGACTTATTCGTGAGAAGACCGATTTTTTCGGGATGTCTCATGGTCTGACAAACACCGCTGTAGCACGGCCACCAACCACCGCTGACGCGGAAGGCCGACATAGGTGGATGTGGAGGATTGAGACGCAGCCCATGCTAAAAAAAAGAAAGATATCTCTAGCTTAAACTGATGGATTTTGATGGGGATTTTTGTATTATTATGTTACTTAGATTGATGCACGGGTGCGTCAATAGACTCGTCATGATTTTAATTTAAACCCCTCAAATCTAGTATTTATGTTGTAGACTGCAGACTCAAAGGGCTAAGATATTCAACTATGTATTGTTAAGATGCCTGTGATATTGATATTGTTTGGGGGGTTCAAGGAGTAAAGTATCCACCACTGTCAGACCTCTCCTTAGGGCAAAGCTACAATACAATGACTAGCCTTCCCAGAGATCACATATCAATATTTTATTTGCATTTTTTCACTGCTCTCCATAGCAGTTATTTGACCCCCTGACTTCTGTGTGCAATATAAATCCAAAGACTTTATTTGGAATACATGTTCTTGATATCGAATAAGCAATTTGGAGGAATGAATTAATGACTTAGCTGTTGCTGAAAATCCCCTGAAGAAATATTAAAATTGCTTTACTTCTGAATCAATATTATTGAGCGCCATTGAGGACCTTTTTTATGTCTAGTAGCCGTTAGCAGCGTTACTTGTTGTGGGAGGTAATTTCTTCCTTGTGGCGCGGTGGCCCAGACCCAGTCCAGCCAGACACCAAGTACAACAGGATCTCTGTAACAGTTAATAATGCATGCAGGGGAAGAGTGTTTAAACCTAGAACATCCTCTTATGTCAACAGTCCTGGCTGGGGTCACTTTTGTTTGGCCATAAAACCCTTTAGAGTAGCGGTCAGTAGTCCCAGTCCTTCCCTTTGTCTAAGCTTCATTAGAGTAGCCAACGCTCCTGGGATTCACCTTGTTTACAGATAAGTGCTATACCAGCCAACGCTCCTGTGATTCACCTTGTTTACAGATAAGTGCTATACCAGCCAACGCTCCTGTGATTCACCTTGTTTACAGATAAGTGCTATACCAGCCAACGCTCCTGTGATTCACCTTGTTTACAGATAAGTGCTATACCAGCCAACGCTCCTGTGATTCACCTTGTTTACAGATAAGTGCTATACCAGCCAACGCTCCTGTGATTCACCTTGTTTACAGATAAGTGCTAAACTAGCCAACGCTCCTGTGATTCACCTTGTTTACAGATAAGTTTACAGATATATTGTTTACAGATATACTAGCCAATACGAAGTTACTGCTGGTCTATTGCGTACATGGTGAACTGGATGGAACCTCAACCAATGTTTCGAAGACCATTTTAGAACACACTTCCTGGGAATGTGTAGCGTGTTTGTAACTGTTATTGACTCATAATCCTATGCATATAGCCTACTGATGCATGCTTAGCATTCAGCCTTTCACTGTAGAACAGACTTTATGGTCTCAAGAAAGCAGGTTTATACAAATGTTTCATACAATTATTATCCAACTATTCTGTCAAAATATTTAATTGGACCAACTTGGGTTAAAACCATGTGTGTTTGAGTATATGCATGCGTGCATGTGTGTGTGCGTGTGTGTGTGTGTGTGTGTGTGTGTGTGTGTGTGTGTGTGTGTGTATGTATGCAGGGCGTGTGTGTGTGTGTGTGTGTGTGTGTGTGTGTGTGTGTGTGTGTGTGTGTGTGTGTGTGTGTGTGTGTGTGTGTGTGTGTGTGTGTGTGTGTGTGTGTGTGTGTGTGTGTGTGTGTGTGTGTGTGTGTTGCAGCAGGGTGAGAATAAGGTGTAAAATAATTGAAATTTAAAATGTAACCTCTAAAAGGTTCTTCACTTCACAAAGAGAAATATTCAGCATTGTGAAATAAAATAAATTCAAAGTAGCTCTCATCTTTGGGTAATAGAATTACATTTATTTTTATTCACATTTTAATATCCCCCCATAATTAACAAAGACACATAGTGGCTTATTTCAGTTCAAAATAGCAAATCGAGATTGAATTTGATTCTAATTGAAAACGTTATAGGTGGGTCTTTTAATGATATGAATGTACATTGTGAATATATCACATACATGTGTCTGAGCCTGCTTAAATGGTCCTTTTTAAGCAACCACGAGGCATGAAATGAATTTTTCTTCAGCTCTTTCTCTATTTAAAAGATGTCTTGTGTGGGGCTGTCTGTCCACGCTCTTTTTTTGCAGTCAGCTCATTAAAGTGTAATGCTGATGCTGCCTCTATGGAACACTGCCTCTTAACGAAAGTTCATCACCAAGGATCTCTGGCGGGTAGGGGGTCTCTCTCTCTGTCTCTTTCTCCCCCTCCCCTCTCTCACAATGCTATCTCTGCTCTCTCTCTCTCTCTCTCTCTGCTATCTCTCTCTCACCCCAGGTCTGTTTCACCAATGCACTCAAAAGTCCTCTTTGTGATCATGATGTTTCCTTGTTATTTGACAGAAGTGAAGGCTATATGTGATGGTATTATAATACAGTTCTCCATATCAACCATATATACACCTTCTGACCTCAACCTTGCCCATTGTGGCAGGCGGGATCCTCTCCAAATTATATTTGTTTGGGGAAGTTTTCAGAATATTTATGTACATAAAATGTCATTTGATAATGAATTCATAACACGTGTTTTTAGTGAAAATACACTTCCCCCTATTTGTTTGGCTGGTTGGACAAATAAATGACTATAGGCCTAATGCTTTGGCAGATAACAATCACACTATTTTACAAACTGTAACAGCGATATGACAAATAACACAAAACGCAATTGCATTTACCAAAGGCAAATCGGAGAAAAAATATAAGATTTATATACATACAGGTACTCGTTTTGAAATAGACGGCACGACTCCACAAAGCTTCAAACCAAACCAGCTACAGGCCTACTCTGTAAAGAAAATGTCCTATACAACACATTAGATGTGCTGGTATTGAACAATTGCTGGGCTTTCGGTGCCACGCGGGATCTGGTCACCGGCTTGGCCTATTGATCGGTTTTCATCCAGACAGATTCACTTCGTCCTAGATATACTGCTGATTGCTGGGGGAGTTTGGACTGAAAGATTGAATTGCACGGTCGAGACCACCCGCGATGGGAGGAAAAAGTTTGTCAAACTCTGCAGTGCAGTGCAGTTCATAGATGGAAAACGTAAATTGATAGCAATACCCTGAGAGTTCATGAGGATTTTGAAGATGCTTTAGATATATTTGACCCCCGTAATTTGAGGCCTAAGCAGGTGTTTTAACCACTCACAAGTTAAATGTAGCCTAGGCATACTGTTAAATAGTCATAAAAATGCTCTCCCCGTATAACAGCCAACGGATGTAAATAATGCCGTCTATAATAAAGGCTCCTGAAAAAGGAAAACGTAGGCTAGGCGTTGAGGCCTTAACATGGACAGACGAAATCACTGCTGCTATTATTGTCATTTGTCCATTTTCTTGATGAAATTTGCAAGGATGTTTCCCAATTTCATGATTGTATATATTTCCCAGATGTTTGAGGGTGACATATTAATATTTTACGTTTTCGTTCAAAGGAATAGGCTTATTGGTTATGTAATTATTAATAAAGAAATATTATTTACCTGTTAATGGACGAGACGCTTGGAACCGTGTCGTTGTCACAGACGCCCTCAGCTAACAGTCTGTCTCTGATTTCCCACGCGAACATGGTCGGATTCTGGCGCTTGTAGTCCGCTATTTTATCCACAACCTTTGGAGTCGCCACTTTTGGTTTGGAACCCCCAATAACTCCTGGCTTTATACTGCCGGTCTCGTAGTATCTGCAACAATAATCAACAACGTATCGATCATGAAACATCTAGGCTATATGTTGGATGGACAATTCTTCGTTTTCTTGACTAGAGTTGATTTCAATTATCATTAGATGTGTGGATGTTTTCGAGTGTTATGCACCTTATGCCCCCAAAATACTTTGTTACGCCTACAGGGCATTTAACCCGTAAACATCTCCAAAATGTGCACATTGTCGTCTGAGGTAAACTTTATATATACTTCATAGCCTAGGCTATATTATATATATGTGAGGTGGAGTGACTTAAAATCGTTGTAGGATCCAAATATAACAGCAAAGACTTATGGTCAAACAATTTAGCTATTCCTTCCGGGTACAACCCATTACAATGGTGTCCAACTTTATTCTCTGTGCCAAAAGATTAAGAAAAGATTAAGAAAACATGCAATTAATTTCAAATGACATGCTACCAAGTGTTGATATTTAACTAATTTAGACAAACATTCCAAGTGCATAAAACAAATACCTTTTAAAATCCTTTTGATAGCTGAAAAATATTTTAAAAACATTCAAATGTCGTACGGACACGAACCCAGTACAATTCAGTTGTAATCTGATATATCCTAAATTACGGGGATGCCAGTTTAACTGTGTACAGACACAGTACCTCTCCTCGTGATGGCTAGGATTAAGTCAGATATTGTTTCCTATCTCCTCATTACGTGTGTCTAATATACTGACGTGTTTCCTCCCTTTTTTTAGCCATGTTTTATTATATTTTGGTCAAATCTGTTTTATTTGGGATCTGCCAATATGTAGGGATAAGAGTTGCAGGACAGGTTCAAACATTTTTTTTAGAATGCGTCTTTCCTTCTCATGATTGGTTGTTTTTTCTCCGTCTTACCTGCCCAGTATTTTGCTGACACAGCCGTGGCTGACCCGTAGTTGTCTCGAGATGTCACAGGGTCTCACTCCTTGGTGCGCGAGCTCTACGATCCGTGTCCTCACCACGTCAGGTAGGGGTCTGCCGTTGACAAACACCCCCCCTAGCTGGTTCACACCGCCGTGCCCTATATGGGAGACAACAGCAGCACAGAAAACCATAACATTAAATACAGGGTGTGGGAGATTTTGCAGCATATATAGTATCACCTCAGCTATAAAAGCATTGTATTGCATTACAATGGTTCAATTGAACATTTTAGACATATCATATCTAAGCACACGGTCCTGTCTTTGAATGTGATAGTAATGGTTGCCTGTATCCAAGCATGTCTTTTAAGATGGACATGTGGTGCTGGGTTGGAGGCTGTATTATTCTTTCCAAGGGACGTCATCAATTCATGTATTTTTAAATGTTTATCAACTCTGTTTGTAGGCTTCTCTGAAGATGTGCGTGACAAGGTCAGGTAGGCTATAACTTTTATCGTTAAAAATGTTTTTACCCATTTTGAAGGGGAGACAGTATCATATTATAGCCTACCATTAGCTACTATAACATATTTGTACGTGAATAGTTGGTTGTCCAATATTGCTGCTCCATGGAATATAAGGCTAGAGTTTCCTGTAGGCTATCCAGTTCAATAGCAATGCTGTAATTTTACAATCCAAAAAATAAGGTATTTAACGACTTATAAACACATGCATCATTAGCATAAATGGTCTATATGATACTTGGAATATTCTTCATGCTTTAATTAGACCTATTATATTTTCTAAAATGTTAGCACTGCAGTAATAATACGTATTATCACTCCCCTATATCGTTTAATACAAGGCGGTTATATTTTCAACGCTGGCCCACGGCTCGGGTTTGGCGATAGAGTTACACGCTCTTTCATTTTCTTTGCTCCGTAATTATAAATAATTAAGCGCTTTGATTACTCATATTACATATTATTTTGTAAATGAAGAAGGGGTAAATTATTTAAAAAAGCATGAGCGAAACAATATCTAAATGAAAAACAGACCCAATTCATTATTTCACCGTCACAACAACAATAAGGCCTATCAATATCATGTCAAGTCAATTTTAACAATATTATATTAAATTAAGATACTGTTTATTTTAATATATATATTGTTTAAGTGTTATTTGGTCAATCAATAAATTGCTGCCTATTACAATATTGGCCTAATAAATTGGCACGGACCTGTCATTGACTCTTATTAACCTGGTGACGGGTTTACTAATTCCAATGTTACATGTGGTGTTCTTCTATGTTTTTCTAATTTGGTAACGCTACGCAAAACCTAGGCCTGTTTAGGAGTTTATTATGCACAATTTAGAAAAATACCAACAAAGAATATATTAGATGTACGTGCTCCGGTCTGTAAATAAGCACATTTTATATACACAATATTTTCAGTATAAAAATAATTTAAAATGTGTCTTCCAAATATTAACATTCCCATTGAACTTCATTGGATTTGCGTTTTTCCTATGCCACTGTAATTCAGGCTACATGAAAACGCTGGAGGGTTTTTGTTTGTCAGTTGTGATATGCAACAAACATGCAGACGATGTTGCTTTGTCAATGAAATGAGTGCATCGCTGTCAACGATAATATTAGCTAGGCTATAGGCCTATCTATAATCATTATCTGTTTTCACAGGCTCAGTTTTCGTTGCAAACAACAATATCTGAAAAACTCATTATCTACTTACGGTGCATCGCTGAGAACGGATCTACTTTGCAGTGAATATCCATCGGATAGCAAAGGAAAGACGGATAATCAATGGAAGTCGCCGTTTCGCCTTTGTAATGCAGATAAAAATGGGAAGAATCTGAAAAACTTTATTCGATGAAAGATTTCGCTTTTCCCTCCACTCAGCCAATGAGAGGGTTGAAGTTCTTCTAAAAGTTGCGGTCGTGGTATCAGTCCGTGCCGAGAATAGAGGCTACCGCTGGTCAGGTGCAGAACATGACCGACGCTTAGTTCATCAACGTGGAAAATGTTTTTCAGTTTGAGTTGGGATTTTCAAAACCTGGAATGATGAGATGATTTTTCTCAGAACATGATGACGAACAGGACAAACCTTTACGTCTAAAACCGCTCCTGACAGTCCTGTGGTTATATAAATAGATCCTAGTTCCGGCCTTGATTTGCTGGTTGGTTGCGGTGGGTAGTACGCTCAGATACGCATAGACATGACAGAAGAAACATGGACACACTGTGGGAGTCTGGTGCCCCGATGTCTTCCTCTTTTCGTGGATGCGTTAGCCTGAATCTTTGGGTTGAGAATGAAGCCCCTCTCCGTGTGTGCGTTTCTAAAAGCAAGCTGCCTGCCCCCCTCCCCTCCGCGGAACCCCTTGCTTATGGATGAGTTGTCAGACAAAGGCAATAGATTCCAACACTTTGTGATTCGCCAACGCAAAAACCTGGAGCCCAAACGAGGAGGTCCCAGGGTCTGACACACCGAAAGGGGAGGGAAATAAGCAAGGAATGGACTCAGAGTTTTAAAGATCAGAGTTTCCAGACATTAGATCGGGACGAGGGGTAAATGAAAGCCATTTTTGACTTTATCAATATCTAGAGTTTCTCTTATTAGATGAATAACGGACTGAGATAGGAATAGACTAACATTTGGGTGAATGTACTAAACTAGACGTTTTACAAGTTGACATAACTGTACAAATAGCCTAATCCATATTTCCTGTTTTGGTCAATCATTATTTTCTTGTTGAGATTATGTTATGTAGGCTGCTGGTATGCATCGTTGTTCTAGTCTACTTTAATGACGCTAATGCATCATGCATGTATATTCAAGTATTTGACATGTTTTGCTACGTAGGCCTACAGCTCAATGCAAGTGTTTTTTACACGTTGTTTACATGTAAACAAACGCTGCATGTCTTAGGTATATAGATTTAACTTACTATATGAAGTATAACGATAAGGGGCTTGAAGAGGGGAGTGGACGGCTCTGGACAATCGGTCGTCGATACATTGACCTTTAATGTTATTTTATTGATTCGGTGATCATGACCACCTTGCTGTGATGGATGTACAGCCTGCGCTGACTGGGCCGAGGGGCTAGTAGTGTACGGGTTGGAGGTGAGATTGGACAGGGGAGCGGGGTGCCGGGGTGGCAAGTGTGTGTCAACACAACCCGCCGTGCTCTCCTCCACACCTTCTGTAGATGGCGCTCACAGGTTTCATTTGTCTAAACCGTTCAAACCGACAGTATACCTTCTGGTGTCAAAGAAGGTCCAACTCAGGCTGCGAGTCAAACTGTGGATGCTCCACGTTCATGGGATTAACGATGACAGTAATATTAATATTGATTACCTTCGATAAATAGGCCCACGTGTCAGTGATTGCATGGATTGAATTTCACTACCAATGTAGAACAATAATGCGTCAACAGGCCTAGTGCTTGTTATAACATGGGTCATATTATTATAATCAAATGAATCATCTAAATGAAATTGAAACAATTCAGGTAGTCTACCAAACATAATTGACTTTTTTTTTTTATGCCACAAATTCATTCAACTTTTTTTGGTGGTTGTCTTATTTCAGATTGATTTCTTATTTTATTGTTGATATCCAATTATTTTAGTGGATTTAATTGGATAAATGAAATAGTTCCAGTGTAGGCTATGGGTTAGGCCTATATAGACACCACTATCCTGCGGAAAGTTGAAAGGTAATATGAATACAAATATCAATTTTGATCATGGTAATATATTAACCATAACAAACAATATTGTTATTCTTGTTCTTATTTGTATTCCTATTATTCCTAATAATTAACAGCAAATTATAATTAACACCACATTTTTATTAGAGTTTTGTTACATTAATTCGTTTTTTATATGTGAACGTATCCAATGTCTTCAATCGACATGTTGTTTAAGCCTAGTAGTGGAGGAAGCCCCTCACGAAGGTCCAACGTTGGAAGAGAGAGCTGCCTGCCCGGTGCACTTGATATTTGGGGGTCTGTATTTTGTGGGACATCTCTGAGGAACATAGGCGGCTACATCTATTGCTCTGCCTTCTGGTCAGGTTAGGGGATCATTTCTCTTACAGGCCCTACTGTTTGTGGAGTGAGCTTCTGGTACAATATGTAGCACTATAGGGTGTAATTTCACACTCCACTGCACATTTCCCCTAAAGCTAAGTTTTTTTTTTCTTTCTATAAGACCCCCCAATTCTTTTACCGCTACCCTTGTGCTCTGCGCGATTTGTTCTCCCGGTGCAAAAAAATTAGGCGTTAATGCTCCCCCCCCCCCCCCCCCCCCCCATTAGGGGACCAAGTATGAAAATGATTGTAAACACCACATATGGTAAATGAATACAAGGATGCTGACTATGTTTATTTGCATTGTCCTATCACTTGAATAGCATGGGGCGCGTGTGTGGCGTGTTTGACCCTCTGTTCTGTTCCTTGGCTCATATCACCCCTCTTTTTAGAGAGAGGCCGCTCTATTCAGCCCCTACACAGGGTCAGATCCTATTTAAAAGCTATTCAGTGGAAATTAAACAAGACGATGGCTGAATAAATTGATGTTCCATCGCTGCAATTTATAGCAGACCCAAAGCAAGTTCTGTTAAGATGGTGGGCTTTAAGAAGACATTGACTTACAGTGTCTTATTTTGTGGTGCACTTAGATTATTTGCATGATGTGCATAACCACCATTTTATTTATGAGCATGCGAGTCCAAGAGTGCCTGTAGATGATTAATTTCTACAACCCCTGAACTTTACATAACCTATAGTAGGCTAGGATAGCCAACTGACATAGTGTAGGCCAGAAAGTGAATTATTTACGATAAATACAGTTTTGGGACACCAGTGACCACACCCAGGAAAATAGGTTTAATATATTGACAGAGAGCAATGTATCTTTCGCTCAGTTTGCTAATAGCCTGTGTAGCCTATAAGTGACATGGAGAGGGAAAGGCAGAGGAGAGGAGGAGAGGAACCGTACAGAACTAGGAGCTCCACCCGCAGGATACACGATGGGTCCTGCTAGAAAACCCGTTGAATACACGATGGATCCCGCTAGAAAAACCGTTGAATATTGTCGGCGATAACAGAGTTTAGTAGTAGTGAGACAG